ATGTGAGAAATCAAAAGTATCTTGAGCTTGCTTTGTGATTAAGTATTTATTACTAACTAGAATATAGGAAAAAGATAAAGAATACAGAAATCATCAGCACAAGTCGTAAGCACAGACAGAAGTCAAATGACTACAATTCAGCTGAAAAGGGACAGATGTTCCTTCCCCCAAAAGGAGCAGGAAGATCTGACAAAGTCAAAGAGGAGAACAGGAGGTTTTATACACTTAGGGGGGTTTGTGCTGCCTCAGGACAGCCCACCCCTCAAGAGAGATGTGGGAAAAGTAGCAGATGATGTAGGGGTGACCCTGTGACCCTCCCTTTATGGACCCAGACAATCAACAACATCTAAAAGGTCAGTCAGGGCACGCATGTTTTCATCTGTGTCTTATCTCACCCTGGACTGCCTTAAGTCACCGGCTCACATCAAGGGTCACATTCCTGAGAGCCTCACCCCACGCAGGCTCAACAATTTTCCCCCAACACTCGCATGCAGGCATATTATTGCGCATACTAAAACGGCCCCACAAAGAGTTTAAGAGGAGTTTGTTGCAGCTTCTCATGGCTTTGTTGACCCTGATTTTGTCAGGGTTTAATTGAATGCCTTCCTTTTCAAAATAGTCTTTGACATATTTCTCCTTGTCGTCAGGGGTTTTGACATGGCCAGGGTAGCCTGACGCTTCCTGTTTACACTTCATGAATGTCTTCGCTGAACAATGTGTCTGTTTTGTTGGGGAAATGCCAAACTTCATCAATGGACACAATCCTGTTTCCCTTTTTCACAGCCTTCTGCAGTTCAATTGACACGCCAGCAGTCTGTCTCTGTCGGCGTGAGTGCACTCGCCAATCTGATTGAAATCCTCAGCACATTTGCCACACAAGGGGAACATGAGTTTGTCATGACATCTGTATGGTAGGACCGGGTGAAACAGCCCTCTGGGTGGTAGCACTGTGCACTTTATGAGTCCAAAATACTTGTCAATAGACTCAAAATCCTTCAGGATAACCTGAGGATGTCCAACTGGATACTGCTTTTTAGCCTGAACCGTTGGATAAAGACTGGTGAAGTCCTTGTACCAGATTTTTTCTTCAGCACCGATCTTGCGGTACAGCTTCATAGCGTTTGTACGTCCCCCAAAGAGGGCCTTTCTAGGCTCTAGACGCTCACGCTTTTTGTAAGTAGCCATAAAAGCCTGTACAGCCCCGCTCGTCCGTTTTAACGCAGACCACTCACACTCCCACATCACTACAACTCACAGCCCGTGTTGTTTTTGTAGAGAATATATTTTGTCCATGAACACCCTGTATTGTCTACCGTAGGTGATTTTTGTAACAGGGTTCATGTCGCTCTGGACGTGGCATTTGACACATCCGTGGAAAAAACATTCAGCAAATTCACAGCAAGTGTTTGCTACAGAATTATAGCCATCCACATAGAACGGCTCAAAAAGCTGTTCACCGTGATTGAGAGCATGTTTAATCTCGATATTCTCTGTGAGGGCCACATATTCAAGCCATTGCATCGATACATCAGAATACGTCTTATTCTGAGCAGTGTATGCCCCCTCAAACGTCAGAGCAACTTTGGGAGAAACAGGGTTTTGAACACCCCCATGCAGCTGGATGCTAGGGTGGTAAATGAGAAGGGGTCAAGCTCCGTGCACTCTATGAATGTCTCACGATAGATGCTGCAGGCTTTTCGCAACACTTCTACATCGTTAACACAGTAGCGTCCGATTTCTTTTTGGAAGTCAAATGTTCCTCCTGAAACGGCATTATACCATTCCATGAATGTCGCCTTATCGCTATCACTCATATCATCAAAGCCGTAGTAGGACGGATCAGGATATTTACCGACATAATACTCATGCTCCCGGGTGTTGAACTTGTGGGGAAAATAGCCTTTCTCGACATCACTGAACCCTAAGGCAGCGGGGGTTTTTGACCATCGCATGGGCAGGAAACTGAATGAGTCAATCCATCTCTGCCGGTATGAAATGTCATACATCAGTATTACCCTACTCCCTCTCATGGTGACTTGCGGAGTGATCTTTTGTTTTACAAACAGAATATAGTTGTCAAAGCCGGATGCGTTGTGGGCAATAAACGTGTAGCCTTTGTATCTCGGTCTTCTGTAATACTTCACAAAGGTGTCCACACAATTCAAAGTACTGAAACAAAACTTTTTTCCCTCTAAATCCATAGCACATACATAATTTGCCTTGTGTTTTCCTTTATGAAACCTTGTCTCAAAGTCAAATAATATGTAGGTTGTTTGCGGCTCTTTCTTTTCAAGAGGCTGAATAAAACACTCATGTTTATCTTTGCTCTTCATCTGTTGCTCACCACAGTGGGCGCAGACTTTTGGAGCGCATTTGTGCGCTTTTTGTCCTGCTTTGTATGTTTTTCCACATGTATTTCATAGCCCCACAGGGGATGAGGGCATGGACGCTTTCTGGACGCTTGTGCTGATCAAAACAATATTTCGACTTATATATGCGTTTACAATCACCGCATTTCTGTGTTTTAACCACATGTGTACGACACTCTAATGTAAAACACACTTTACACAGATGTTCACAGCTGTGGTATAGTCGATGGTCATAGGTTTGGTCGCAATACCGGCATTCTTGTTTTGCCCCAAAAAAGCCTTGCTGGTTTTCAATCAGGTGATAATAGTCATTGTGTAGATATAACCAGACTGTCCGGGGATGAGGCGCATCGTGTGTTTGGAAACACTGAAGTCGTTTACGCCCTGCTGCATGGTGGAAGATTATGATTTTCACACCCAGATGTCTTTCAAAAGCATCTACATCTACGGAGAATGAGACCTTGTGCATTGGTCCAAAACCCAACAATCTATGTAGTTGAGTTGCAAATCTCACTTTATCTTGCAGGGACATGTCTGGATGATTAAAATGTGCTAAACCGAGCGAAAAGCACAGGTTATTATCAGTATTGACACTTCTTTGATAATATCGCATCATAGGGTACATCTGCTAATTTTAGATAGACCCCACCGTTTCTATTTTTAGCTACGGTGATCACTAATTCCAATTCATCATCCGTTATAGCCTCATCATTGCTCTGTATCACTTGTGCAATTTGCTCCATAAACAAGTCGAGAGTTGTACGACTCGTTTACACGTAGAACAGCTTGTATGTCACTAGCCAATGAAGGCCGCCGTAACAAAACGTTCAGCACACTACCAGCCGGAGAGGCCTCTACAGCTCTATCAATTACACCCGCCACTCTTTCTCTGACCATGTAGGGGATTTGCTCGAGGTCAGTAAGATCCACGTTTCTGAAATCAACCCTTTGTCTAAGCTCAAATGCATTGAATGAAGGCATCTCTCTCCTGGTGACTGTCTTCCCTCTATGCCTGAGGAGGTCTCACCCCCCCTAATTATCTCCCCTCCTCCTCCTGTTAGTGTATTATCATGCCCCCCTTCTGTTCGTGCCTGCTCCCCTGACCCTCCCTCTTGACACTTAGCAGGCCCCCCAACACCCTGTTCATGCTCCACATCTCCATTTGTCCCCATCTGATTCAGCCGGTCGTCACATATTTCTGCCGACACACACCCCACAGCCCCTGCATCATTTTCTGTGTACACAAGTGGTCCATCTGCATGATCCAACACATGGCTATTTGCGCCGGAGGTATTAAACCCAGGGTCTAGGACACTGACCAAGTCTGCATACCCGCTATCTAGATACGATGAATGTTGTTCTGTATAATGAATTCTGTCAACATCATGAAAAGCTTCTGCAGGGTATGCAGCAGCAGCAGCAGCATCAACGCGCGATCTCTCCACCAGTGCTTGTAGGCTTTTAAGCTGTTCCTCTGTATTCTTTAACAGGACCCTATACCCATCATCATTATTATTATGGTTATCCCCTGATCGTTGTATATCACCCGCACCCCCTTTTCTGGGGGGGAGGCATACTACACGTCTGTATTGTTTATTTAGACACCACCCCTTATAGACACCATCCCTAGTAGATTACCTTGGATAAAATGTATTTGTAAGTAGAGCTATGATAGCTTCACTGGATGCATTCTGAGCTATCAGGTATTGTTTTATGGAGCTGCCGTTGGCGTCCTGTGTTTGTCTAGCCTCCTTTTGTTTCTTACATAGATCAGTTACTATCTCTTTTAATGCGGTGTTGGAACGACGCAGTTCACTGATTTCATTTATCAACTCTACATATAAGGTGTTAGCGGTGTCCCTCGGGTGCACAATCACAACCGTGGGTTCTGTGGTTATATCTGCTCTGTTTTGTTGAAATGGGGTTACACACTCTTCCGATGTTGCTTCTACTGTAGTACTCTCTTCTTCATAGTCACAGATCCCCTGCAGCATTTCCTCGTCAGTCAAGCATCCTGGATAGTTCCATGTGTCCTTTGTTGGTGTAGACAGGTCAAGCTGATCCCTGCTGTACAAGCATACATGGACAAAATATGTTATAAAACAATTGTATTCCTAATATATATATGGATGATGTAACATACCTTGTAGAAGGTGTCTCAGACTTGTCAACCGTATGTAGTTTTTTTTTTTCACTGGAGGGGCATACAGGTCTATTATTAAAAAATAAAAAATAAAAGTTCAACAACAATAATCAATAAAATACATACAAATATTTGATATTGTTCCAGTTACCTGCAACCCCCGTTTGATAACGACGATCAGTCTGTTTTTCCCAAGATGTCGATTCTTTCAAGTGAATTATAAAATCACCATGAATGATTCGTCAAATAATAAACATATAGAAATCTTATATCATACTTCCATTTCCCCTACCTGTGCCAGCTCCCTGGTTGGTGCACGTAGTCGTTGGTGGTAGACAACTGAGTGCAGCAACCTCCTTTTTCAGTTTTTCAAGACTCACATGTATAGGCGTCGAGCTGTCATCTATTTCTAAAAGGTGTAAATACCTATTAAAAATATCACGCCCCAAAATGACGTATTTCCGTTTCTACTCGTAAAATGGCGCATTTCCGGGCATGACCGCAAAATGGCGGCGGTTACGCCCACTTCCTGTACACGCCCCCTTGCGCCTGCATGAGGTCAAAGGTCACATACACAAGGTCACTAGTTTCTCTGACTTGATAGACTTCATGGAGAGACAAGTGAAGATATTGTCGGATCCACTTTTTGGGAACATCCAGGATGCTAAGGCAACTACATCCGTCAAAACCGGCAACTGTCACAGCAAGAGAGGCCGAGACCAAGAGGAAGCAGTTTTGCAACTACTGCAACACCTGTGGAAATGCCAATACAAGAAAAAATGACAAGTGGAATGAAAAAAAGATGCACAGGGAAAAATCGACTTCTTAAAGAAAAGGGGAGTCTGTTTTGGCTGTTTGAAGGTAGGACACATGAGCAAAGACTGCGATAGTCGTTTGACTTGTGACATCTGCAACAAAAATCATCCTGAAATACAACATCCCAATACATCCTGAACAAAGAGACATAGGAAGGAAAACAGAATTGGATGGAAAATCAATTGGGAGCAATGCTGTTCTCTCACCTCATACATGTGGGCATATTGGGGCCGGTGAAGAAGCCTGTGTCTTCTCTATTGTTCCAGTACAAATAAAGACCCCCAAGGGAGACACTGTGTTGCAGACGTATGCGTTTTTGGACCATGGAAGCTCAGCCACCTTCTGCACAGAAAGCCTGATGAGAAGACTGAATTTAACAGGACAAAAGACTACTATTCTTTTGCGTACAATGAACCAAGTTAAACCTGTGACTAGTCGTCATATACCAGGTTTAGAGATATCAAGTCTGGACAAAACTGATTTCATACAACTGCCCAATGTATTTACACATAAGATCATGCCTGTTTCCAAGCTCAACATTCCCAGACAAGGAGACCTGATTCAATGGCCTTACTTGAAGGACGTCAAGATTCATGAAATAGATTCTGGCATTGACCTGCTCATAGGCACAAATGCTTCTAAGATATTGGAACCTTGGGAGGTGGTCAATAGCCAAGCCAATGGACCATACGCTGTGAGGACCCTATTGGGGTGGGTCATCTATGGTCCTTTGAAAGGAGACAACAGCTGGGATGAGAATGGCTGCCCTGCTGCTGCTGTCACACTGTCCATCGTGAACTTAGAGGAGCTACTGGTTAAACAATAATGGGAAACTTTGGTACATCCCACATCACAGAGCGTATCACCCGAGGAAAGGAACCTTGAGAGTGGTCTTCGACTGCGGCGCTGGCTTCAAGGGAACATCGCTCAATGAACAATTGCTACAGGGTCCAGATCTTACCAACTCACTTATAGGAGTACTCCTCAGATTCAGACAAGAGCCTGTTGCCCTGATGGCTGACATCAAAGCAATGTTTCACCAGGTCAAAGTGTCAGACAACCATATTGACTACTTGCGATTCCTATGGTGGCCTGATGGATGGATGAAAGGACACCTCTTTGGAGAAGTGTCATCGCCGAGTTGTGCAAATTTTGCACTAAGAAAGACCGTTGAAGATAACCAAACTCACTTTCCAGCAGAGGTTATGGACACCGTAAAAAACAACTTTTACGTAGATGATTGTTTGAAATCCATTTCCACAGAACAGGGCGCTGTTCTTATGGTAAGAGACCTGACCTCTCTCTGCCAGAAGGGAGGATTCATACTGTCCAAGTGGATCAGCAACAGCCGTAAGGTATTGGCCTCCATTCCACAAGAAAACAGAAACAAGGAAATAAAAGAGTTGGACTTGGACAAGGACAACCTGCCGACGGAAAGAGCACTAGGATTGCACTGGTGCGTTGAGACAGATGTGTTCACGTTCAGAATGACTGCACCCTCATGAGCATACACCAGACGCGGCATCCTGTCCGTGGTTGGCTCTGTATACGACCCTTTGGGATTCCTGGCGCCATTTGTTCTGCCAGCCAAACTGATTATGCAGGAACTCTGTAGAAAACACCTTGGATGAAAACATACCCCAAACCATTTCTCAACAATGGACACAATGGCTGACAGATCTAAACAACATGACAGTTAAAAGAGGACCGTTGCATGAAGCCCACAAACTTTGGTCAAATTGGACATGCACAGTTACACCACTTTTCAGACGCCAGCGAAAGTGGATACGGTACAGTTTCATATCTTCGACTGGAAAACAACGAAAAGGAGGTGCACGTTGCCTTCATGAATTTGTAAAAATGAATGATGAAGCAGTGGTCGACTCCACTGCACCACGAGGCTCCTAGTTAATGGGTAGAATACTGGAGACGAAAGCAGATGCACAAGGCCTTGTGCGTACCGTCCGACCGTCAGACAAAAACCAACATATTGGAAAGACCAATATATAAGATATGTCTGATTAAAGAAACTGAGATTTAGTAAGGCCTGGTGGTAAGGACCAGATACCACCAGGTGCCATGTTTTGGAGCCCCCGGCCCCAAAAATGACTACTTCAAAAAGGAAGACTCGAGAATCCCTGAAGAGGATTAATTGCCAACACATTCCCTTATTATTTTTTGGTAATTGGTATAAAAGACAATTAGGGGCCGGTGTGTAGGGGCCAATATGTGTTGTTGTTGTTGTTGTTGGCAAAGAATATTTTGTTTGTTAGACTGTATTTATATTGACACTTTTGACACTAGGTGGCGGTGATTAGGTGCACATGGGTGTACATAAGGGACGTAGGTGATAGGAAGCGAGGGCACAGGTAAGGGAGCACCAGACCACAAAGACAGACCACCATCAATAGGAGCATGTTCAACCGGTATGTTCATCTATTTATACAATTGCCTGCAACAAATTACAAACCTCAACCACAATCATCGCTGGATAATCTTTTGTGTGTCTCCGTCGAAACATCACTCCCACCTGTGCCTGATGGCAAAGAACAACAACGAGCCAGCAAAAGGGGCAGCAAACCCAAGATTGCCATTACATCGTCTATCGTTCAACCTTACGTTACAACATGACACATTTATCAACAAATTGACGTTTTCTAGCACGTTGATGTTTCATCCCATTTTTAGCCGGTTGAAAAGACGTTGAAATGAGGTCTTAGACGTTCAGACCTCATTTCAACCCGATTTCAACCATATTAAAAACGTTGAAATTACGTCTTGTGCTCACTGGGGAACGTCAAATAGAAGGAGTTTCAAAAAACTAGAATTCAAAAAACAACCAGCCAGTCACAATAGGCCCTTTTCACAATGACGTCAGATAAATTGTTGTGTGTTAAATTTTTATCAAAGCTAAATGTCAAACCATTTCCATATGCTGATGTGCTTTCATTCATTTTATTCCTGTGTGCATTTTTCAACAGTTTTCCATCCAATAAGCATGTCAGAGTCATCTTGTAGATGCTACTGTAGTGTTCCTTGTTGTTCAAACAACAAACATATATTTGCTTATTTAAGTTTCCACGATTTTCCAGTGGACGCTGAGATACGTGCATGTTGGGTTAGGGCAATCAAACGAGACGAGGGACCGAGTTTTAAAATCCTCCGTGGGAGCACTTACGTCTGTAGTCAGCACTTTGCCCCAGAAGACCTATGTACATCAGCCAGTGGACGAACCCGGATTAAAAAAGGAGCAACGCCATCTAGATTCCCCTGGAATGACTGGGGTAAAGGTAGGACACTATAAAGCCTGGTAGTACATATAAATAACAATAAATCATAATTCATTGCATTGTTTACAATTGTGCTTATATGAATTTTATACAGCCTATTGGTCCATATAAAAAAGTATAATAAATCACCCGGTTGCCATTTGTTATTATTGCATTTGTGGTAGTATTATACATTTTTTGAGACCTGAGAAATGATTGCTAAATATCCATAATGACATTTATGTGTATCTATTTCACATCTCACAGGAAGAGCCTCACAAGCTCGATAGTTAGTTTACCAGAGAACAAGGAAGCATTTTAGGGCTGCAGTCCTAGATGAACCTCAGGAGCTGCCTGTTCCAGGAGACATCACAGAGGAAGCACTGCCTGCGTGTGGAGTAGCAAAAGATCATGACTATGCCTACCGTCCTTCTCCTGGTAATCTTGGTAGTTGTAGTCTCTTTATTTTAGAAGAGCCAAGAATTACTGTCACGCTGACTAACAAATAACATCCAATAATGAAGACAAAGAAAAAACTAGTAGATGACTTAAAGGGTGTATGTTTTTTCTTGCTTTTAAGGTAAACTGGATGCTGCTGCGATGAGAATTCAGGAGTTGGAGTTTCAAGTTGTGTCACTTGAACTTGAAATCCAGCAGCTGACAATTAAGCAGCAGCAGCCTCTGATTTTCAAGTTCTGTGTCACAGATGAGGACTTTCGTTACTACACTAAGTTTAGCTCAAAGGAGGTCTCACTGTGTTTTGGGAGTCAGTTTACCCTTCTGCTTCAGCTTGTCTACCGTTAGTCGCATCATCCTCACATGGACAAGCTACCTTTACCAGGTTCTTGGCTCTCTACCGTTGTGGATGACGAGAGAGCAATTGCAGGCCACAATGCCTGACAAGTTCAAGCTCTATTGCCCTCAGGTGAGAGTGATAATAGACTGCACCGAGATCTGTTGTGAAAAAGCATTTTCTCTCTTACTGCAGTCGGAAACGTTTTCCAACTATAAAAAACCACACCACCTTTAAAGGTCTAATTGGCATTGCCCCATGTGGGGCTATCACATTGGTTTCAAAATTGTACACAGGCTCCATCTCTGATATAGAAATAACTCGGCAATCGCAGATCTTGCAGTTACTTCAACCAGAAGATGGAGTAATGGCTGACAAAGGGTTCCAAATTGAGAAGATGCTGTCACAGGTGGGGGCAACCCTCATCATCCCTCCACTGAAAAAATCTAATCAGCTCCGCACAGCGGACACACTGAAGACCCAGGCTATTGCCCGCTTGAGAATTTTAGTGGAGAGGGCGATACGCAGGGTGAAGGAGTACCACATTTGGGATGGGCTTGTTCCTCTTTCTATGGTAGGTTCAGTCAATCAGTTGTGGGCCATCTGTTGCCTACTCTCAAACTATCAGGGACCTCTTGATATCAAAGGGGACAAACCTGTCTGAAGTATTTCCTTTCTTGGGTGAGATTAATTCTTCAGTACTTTTAGGTGTTTGACACTATGTGTAGATATACTGTAAATATAAGTGCTTTGTAATATATTTTTAAATTTGCTACATTTTCTATGCTTTCAATGAACATAGGTTTTAGTATATTTTCATGGTTATTAATAAACAATGTTGTGAAGCATTCTGTAAAAAGGTTTTGCTGAGTAAAATGCATTTACACCTTAACCATTAAAAGAACAAGAATATTTTGCAAACTTGCCTTTTTTATTTACATATTTGGTAATAGCATTTATGTGAGATGAAGGAAACTAATACAAAACTTTCATAGCAGCTCAAAGCTAAACAAGGTTGGAAGCAGTTCCTTGCAACTAAGACTGTAAAAACTAGAGTGATCACTGCTCGATAAGAAAAAGGTATTTACATACAATGCACTCTGACTTAAGTTGTAAATGGGAAAAGTATTTACAACAGGAATAACATGCATCAGATGTACATGGAACTATTTACATTTGAAAATTCTGTCTCAACGTAATAACACATCCAGGTAAATGTTGTGATAAAAATAATCCAGCTTCTGTCGCATTGAGTTGATGATCTCCTCATCCCTAAATATTCTTTCAACTTTGAAGTCAGTGTGAGTATCTGTTATAAAATCACACCACTGAAGTCCGCTTATGGACAGCTGGCCTTGAACCTGATGGTAAAATTTGTGGCTTTTCTTAAGGCAGGCCTGGCCTCGAACTATGATCAGGTGTTTAACTTGAGAAACATCTTCAACATCACAACTCTTTACCTCTGCCAACCCAAATGGTGGTGTTTCTCTGGGGTTGAAGACTTTAGCATCAGGGCTGGCTGCAAGGTGAGGAGCATCAGGGTGGATGAGGACCCCACACTGCGTCACAGTGACGTCACATGAATCAGAATATTGCCTCAGTATGTCAGGCTCCAGTTCCAGCCCTCTTTTCATAGCTGCTGTCTGAGGAGTTCCTCTCAGAATGCGAACAGCTACGGATTTTGCAGTTGACTCTCCACGGACATGACAAATCTCACCAAATCTGCTGGTTGTAAGTCGGGGTTTGCGTACCTGGGTCCACAGCGGGCATTCTGACTGCAGTCGTGTTTCTGCTTCAATAGAAGCAGAGATCTCTCTTGACACCTTAAGGCTTTCTAAGTGCCATTGTTGCTTGTAGTTAGACTCAAATTGTATGTGATATTTAAAATTATGACCTTCAACGGGCAACTGAGGAAATCCAGGGGTACCAGGGTGTTTAATAATGTCTCTACTTATCTCAGGAGGGCACTAGTAAGAGAGCAAAGACCCAAATGGCACAGGGCCAAATTTAGAGTCCACAAAATTAAGGGCCTCAAGCCCGTGGAGCAATTTACAAATGCCTGGTTGTGGGCGTTTGTCTCGCAGTTTCTCAACACTGGCAATGATATGAGGATCTGTCAAAAAAGTGAGATGTTAAGTAAAATGTACATATCATTCTAACCTGACCTTTCATATTGTAGCAGACATCAACACATATCACCTCTATTAATACAGATGAAAATGTTTAGAGCTGCCCCAAACCCTACATACTAAGAGATGTTCATAATTTGCAGAAGATATCAACTGAAAGTTTAAAAGGAAAATATACTAATCGTTGTTCTGTTATACATTAAAATATTTGGAAAGGTGTTCATTCAGACTTACCACCATAGGTTCTGTACAGTGTACATTTCACACCAGTTCGGGCATGATCCTTGGACTTCGGTACTGGTTTACACACTACCATGTCATTTGTTGCCTCAGGAGCAATTCCCTGAAATATATTGATGATAAATTATTAATTGACAAAGTCATTACAAAATTCTAGTCCAACATCATTAAATGTAATGAATGTTAAAATATAACATGTGTCCTAGGCCAGTGCCAGGTCTGCAGGGAGCTGGTGCATAACAGTGGCAATGGTACTGTTGTGTTCAAAAATGAAGAAACGCCGGACGGACAGAGGTCATCGCTGATCGAAAGGTTAAAATCAAATGTCAAATAAAGGAGATGGCGTTGTGGTAAAAAGAACATCTCAGCTGAGGAGCCGCTGGTCTCAGCGACCAACAGGCCCCAGGTCAGTCCTTTGACCATCCCTAGTGCCCGTCTGTCGCCTCTGTTGGGGGAAAATTGTTGAGCCTGCGTGGGGTGAGGCTCTCAGGAATGTTACCTTTGATGTGAGCCGGTGGGAGATAAGACACAGATGAAAACATGCGTGCCCTGACTGACCTTTTAGATGTTGTTGATTGTCTGGGTCCATAAAGGGAGGGTCACAGGGTCACCCCTACATCATCTGCTACTTTTCCCACATTCCTCTTGAGGGGTGGGCTGTCCTGTCCTGAGGCAGCACAAACCCCCCTAAGTGTATAAAACCTCCTGTTCTCCTCTTTGACTTTGTCAGATCTTCCTGCTCCTTTTGGGGGAAGGAACCTCTGTCCCTTTTCAGCTGAATTGTAGTCTTTTGACTTCTGTCTGTGCTTACGACTTGTGCTGATGATTTCTGTATTCTTTATCTTTTGCCTTTACTCTAGTTAGTAATAAATACTTAATCACAAAGCAAGCTCAAGATACTTTTGATTTCTCACATGGGCTAAATCCACAAATTTCCACCACAAACTTGGCGACGAGGATGGGATGGACGCGTGATCTAGACTCTGACGGACGGACAGAAGGCCATTTAGTATAGGTGATTCCTCCCTGAGGGTGAGAAGCTGCCGTCCCGACGAGACCCGGATTGCCGATCCATCCATTTCAAGAAAAGAAACGAACAACACGCGGTGAGAAATCAAAATTATTTTTAAGGCAGACAGAGTCATGACAAAAGGGTTTTAGGCCTATCTCACAACGAGTGTGTTGTAGACAGACGTGTCTGGGTCACCTATAGTATTCGTCACAAGGTTGCAACATCCTGTGTCTGAAGTTCACAGGCGCAACTTTGGATCAATGCAGTAGACTGAGTGACCAGAGAAAGCAACGGTCAACTGACTTGCCTTAGTTATGCATGTGGTATTTCTCCGTTTGTGCGCACCTTTATAGGCGCGTACACTCCTTGTATACAGATACAGATAGCTAAATGGGTAGTGTTCAGAGTAAAGGGGAGACGGGTGATAACCATGAGACTAATATCCTGCCACTATTGTGTAAATTTATGTCAGAGCGTTATCCTGGCAGTTTGAATCAAATACAAAAATGGGTTGAATTGGGGTTCCCTTTAAAGGGGAGTTTGAGTAAGAATCATTTGGAGCAGTTGGAATTGCAACTTAGGGGGAAGGAGGAGAACGATGCAGCTCAGCATGCAGGCCGGTCGGGAAGAAAGCAGAAGAAGAATGTGGTATGTAAGGCAGATTGGGAAGCTTTCAAGATGTGGAAGTATGAGTCGGAGAGAAGGGAGAGACAGAGGTTGGTAGCATTTAATTCATTAAAGACCAAAGATCCTACAAAAAGTTCTGAAACGTGTACCCCTTCTAACCCAAAAACACTTTATCCTTGTTTTTATGAGTTCCTGCGGATATTGGTGGACACGGATCTGGACTCCCCCCCTCCCCTCACTGCTCCTCCAGCTCCCGCCTTCATGAGCCCACAGTCTCCACGGCAGGAAGCAGCACAAACAACCTTTCCTCGGCTTGACAACAGCCCACCAGGAGGGAAGCCAGATTCAACCTCAAACACCAGCCAGACGACCTTTTCACCTACTGTGACCCACTCGCAGGCTCAACAAAGGTGGGCCTTGCTCGTTGTTCGATCCTGCAGCTTCTTTTCCAGTCGAGGGGGTGCAAGGGCCGATGCTGGTTCTCAGACCCTGGTCAGATGCCGATGTGACGAAGGCAATGAGCCACGTCTGCAGTCCCAAGGACAATATTGCTAAGTTGGAGACTGATTTTCAGCAATTTGTCAGAAAATACCATCCTAGCATGTCAGAGCTGCGGCGTCTGATGTGCAGACTTCTGACACATGACTATCACAAAGTTCAGAGTGTGTTCAACACCACAAGAATGGCTGCTCGCCTTAAAGATCCGGATTGTGAGCACGGCACAGATGTGGACATTAGAAGTGCTGTAGATGCTCTCATTGTGTTGGTAAAAGAACAATTTCCTCTGAGACTGAACCTCCCCACCGTCACCTCTATGACACAAGGGCCACAAGAAACATGCAGCTCCTTCCTGGCACGCCTGACGACAGCTTTTGACACCCACAGTGGCCTTAAGCGACCTGATCCAATGGGGGCACAGCCCCTGATGCCATATGAAGTCCCTCTGAAAGAACATTTTATAAGCAGAATGAGACCTGAGCTTATACGGATGGTGAAGAGATCATGTGTAACCTGGAAAACCTGTGCTCTTGCAGACATCCTTCAGCACGCTGAACACGCTGAAGATGAGTTACACAAGAAAGAGGACAAACTAAAAGGTTTTGAACAGGCTCAGTATGCAATGTTTACGTGCTTGCAGTGCCAACAATTTGCCCAAGGCCAACGTGGAAGAGGAAGAGGTTATGGAAGAGATCGTGGCAGAGGCAGATCGGACTTACGGGAGTTATGATCCAAACGTGTGTTACAATTGTGGACAACAAGGACATTGGCGAGCAGAGTGTCCTGAGCACATGAGGATGAGACACATCACACGTCTGACTGAGGAAGGCAGAGGGAGGGGCGGACCCCAGAGCCGGAGCACCCCATCACGGAGGAGAAAGTAACACACCCTACACACACTCATAAACGGAACAAATAGCTAACACAACTGCACACACACACATCTTAGATTGCATGTCGAGTCATATTCAGAAATTCCCATAATTAACGTTGACGATTTCTTGCTATCCGGTAACACTTGTAGTTGACTCAAGAGCATTTGGCATTGTGTTTGAGCTCAACATCAGATGGCACACACGAAAAAAAGAAGAAAAAAAAAGACTAAATTGCAATTATTTTAGATGTTCAACTACAGTCCAAAAACCCTCCTGTATGTATATGGATGAAAACTACTGGCATACCTTGATGCATTAATTACTCATGACCGTGTACAAATTGCGCATACACACACGGTAGAAGATTACATGCATGAACAGTCATTACATTGCACATCCTGTGTAAGCACAGGGCGAGATAGAAGGTATGCGGAGGTACAGCATGACCAAAAGTTGGAGAAAGAGAGATTATGGTTGAAGTATGTGTATTGGTCAGAGGAGGCTGCTGCGGTGTCTGTATCTCTCTCTCCTTCCCAAAGA